CGTTGAATAAGAAATGTTTCTTTCACAAGAAATGTATAAAATTAGTGCTGTATTAGACTTACGGTACCTAATTTACATACTGTACAGACGATAGTAACCTCAACTTACTCGCCTAAACTCTCTGTAGCGTGGCGCTGGACGGCGGAAAGTATATATATAATTATAATAAAGTTACAATGAATTAAGTTAATATATAATTATATATACAGTACCTAATTTATATCTAATTTATATATAATACTGTACAGACGATAGTAAACTCAATTTACCCGCCTAAACTCTCCGTAGCGTGGCGCTGGACGGCGGAAAGTAGTTTGGCTGCCCGATGACGTTTTACTGAATTATAGGAATTTTTTTTACCATGTTTGTACGGACACCGTCGCAAGTTTTTCGCCGTTATATAGGAATCCGAACTATAGGAACCCGTGTTATAGGGGGATCGACTGTTTATCAAATTATTCAAACTTCAAGACACCATTAAAAATAAAAATTGCATTATAGTGAACATTTTTTTTTAGTTAACTGTATAAGTTGGCGACCCCACAGAAAGCCCGTCGCGACCCCCTTCTGGATCGCGACCCATAGGTTGGGAACCCGTGCTCTAATGAGAAACGTCTCTTTTTCCGTTTCGTTCATTGTAATAACATTAACGATTCTTTTTCATATTTTCAATCTGACTGTTTATTATCCTATTCTAGTGAACAGAGAACAGTTTCGATTTGAAGCTCTCATTTGTACAGTTGAGTTGGCATTTGTAACGATTTTAATTATAGGAGGAATTGCGCATGGTCTACTGTTAGCCGCTTTATTTATATTTGTCCTCCAGAAAGAATACGAAGAACTTAATTACGAAATGTCTACGATAAGAAGAAGCGACAGAAATTTGAAACTGAAATTACAAAATTTGATGATCTGTCACCAAGAATTGTGGATTTACATGAATCAGTTGAACACAAAATTCGAGTTGGCTTTCGTACTTGTTTATTTCGAAATAATTTGGGGCACGAGCTTTTGTATTACGCATATTTGTACGTTGATATGCATTGGATTTTTAGAATTTTAGTGATGGCACTGATGATTGTTTCCTCATTCGTCTGCATTATCTGTGGCTGTTTGCTATGTTGCATCGCTTTCACGGTACTCGTTATTTACACTTGATTAATTAATTTAATATTTTAATCTTTAATTTAATTTTTGACTTTATAATTTTAATTATTTAGATGCGGAATGGATTTCAAGACATTCGTCAATTTGCAATCTGCTATTTGGAACTGGAACGAAAGCTTAAAGTACAGATTTATTTTTATTCTATCTTTATTGTAATTCGGATTTACTTTAATAAATTTAATATTAAATACTAATTTTTTGTTAGATATTGGATTTCATGAAAAGATTCGGCAAATTGTCTTTGTGTCTGACGATAGGAGGCTTCTTTTGTGTCAATAAGAGGATCCCTCAGAAGGTAGGTTCATTGACGTGATGTCTCGGAACATTATTTAAGATTTAAATTTCTGACGAATCTGAAATACGTGTGTCGTAGTACGAACTTTTAGAAAATCAATAGAATCAATTAATAGAAATAGAATCGAATAGAAATTAATTTATATTATGGAAATGCTTTCACAAATCGAAACTACGCGCAATGCAAATATGAAGACTACTGTTGTAATGCTAAAAGTTTACATACGACACGTTGTTCATCGATACCTGAAGAAAATTTACCATTGGCACATTGAAAAATTGCTTACTTCTTTAACTGTTATCCTTATTAAAAATTTTTATTAAATTTTATGCTGCAACTCACCAGTCCCACACTTTTCTTAAAAGTAATTTTTATTTTTTTTTAAATTCTATGTGTAGCGTCTTTGTAATCCAAACAATAATTTTGGTAGACGATCAAACAGCAATTAGTTAGAAAAACGTATATAAAAGAACACTTATTTAAAAGAACACTTTTTTAAAATTCAGATGCATTTCGGGTTGGCTTGTATTCCCAACCCCTCTTCACTGCTGTTAAAATTACAAAAAACAAGGTGAGTTTTAAGACATTGGTAAGTAGGATTTAACATAAACGCGGGTTGAAAATAACATAAAAACCTTACATGTTATATAATGGTACAGCATAGACATGTGTGACAATATTTTTATTATATAGTTGTATGACTATTTCCTATAATATGAAAAAAGTAAAGGGCATGGTCGTTTAACACATCATTTAAATGAAGAATATATATAACATAGATTATTAATTTCAAAATACCTATAAACACTTACATTTTTAGTTAAATTGTAATATTCCTGATAAAAAATGGAACAGAGCACAAATTGACAAAGGGTGTTATCCGGTGTTTATCGAGTAGCAGTATACCGACAAGTGATGTTATTTAAACCATTCCTAACATTCCGTACAAGGAGGTGTGCTTTAAACAATATTTAATGCGTGGAGGCGCTCTCTATTAGTTTATACCATTGGGGATCTATTGACACGCCTTCTGAAATATTAATTAAGTTATCTTTAAGGTGTTTTTTTTATTTCTATGTGTTCTTTAAATTTCCTTTTATATGGGTCTTTTTCTATATGTAACACTTTTATATTGTTTTTATTAATTTGGCAATTATTGTCACTTGTGTGGTAGTACCAGGGGGAAGTGTTATGTTTAAGGCGGATGGCAGCTTCATGTTCTTTAATTCTGGTTTCTAGAAATCGTCCTGTTTCACCGATGTCAATTTTCGGATTTTGACAGTTGCATTCAAATTTGTAGACAGTTCCTACAGATTTTAGAATGTTAGGTTTGTTGTTATGTCGTTTATTAATGTCATAATGGATACTATGAGATATTTTGTTGGTCAAAGATGGTGC